CCCTCTCCCCTAAAACCTCCCCCCCCCCCGCCCCGGACCCCCGCGCCCAACACCGAGCAAATGCCACGAAGAAATACAGTACTGCCACGGATTAAAAGACACGCGTCCCCCACCCCTCCTCTCTGCTGGGTCGCCCAGACGGCTGGACCCCCTGGGGCTGGGGTGGGGGGACGGCCACCCACCACACACAAGAAATAAAAAGGTAAAAACATGTCTGATATACAATGAAAATTGATCTGTACAGCACTGAGAATGAAAGTTAAGTCACGGGCCACTTTGGAATATGTTTTGTCATTTAACAGCATTTACAGTGACATTTACAGAATAAATATACAATAGAAATAGAGAATCTCTAGGATATTATTCCATCTCCTCTCTTTGTGTAAATCTTTTAAATATATATATATATATATAATATAGCTTTTTGTTATCTTCTTATTGACTTTGCCTCTTATTGACACTGCAAGAAGAGGGAAGGAAAGCAACTGCCTCCCTGGCTGGTTTGGGAATTGTAATGGGAGAGATGGAGGGCCAGATCCTTCCCCCCAGGGTTCAAGGGGAGTCACATCACCAAAGTGGGTAGGATTGCACGATTTGACTCCTGGAGGTGTCCTGCTCCATTAACTCCATGGGAGCTATGGTGGGAATCTGGCCCCTGGGCTCAGCGGCGCTGATCTAACTTACAGCCACGGGGAGATCGGGAAGGTGATGTAGGTGCAACGATTTGCTGGCCAGGTGGAGGAAAGGCAGAGAGACAGAGGGAGAAATAAGAGAGATCGGAAGGAACATCTTCGCCTAGCGACAGGGGGAACAGCTTGGTCTTTGTGCTTCTCCCTTTTTGAGATGATCCAGTGGGACAATTTGTATATCCCTCTGCTGAGGCAGGGGAAGGAGAGGAAAACTGAACTGGCAGCAGAGAGGATGGTGAAGGGGAGACTGGCTGGAGGAGAGAGAAGAGAGCATGCCTGGTCCTGACCACACAGGGCTGGTGCTCCTCTGAGCTGTCAGTGAAGACTGAGCTACCCCAGTTCAGTCCTAGCCTCTGTTCCCCCCCCTCACCCCACCCCCAGTAAAATGGCTAACAAAAGGCTCAAGTTAATTGTCTACAAAGAGCTCCGAGGCCCCCAGATGAACCCCTGATAGAAAGGAGAAGCATTATAAATAAAGGATCACAACCCACAAGAGAAACTTCATTGTGAGGGACCTCCTGCCCCAGCGATGCTAAGAGAAGTCAAGGATGTGGAAAACGGACGGGATACTTTCTGCCTTTGCTTCCCAGCCAAAAGGAGAACTGAGCGGGGGAGAAAACCCACTGATAAGGAAGCAAAGGATGACAGAAGGGATCGTGGGCAAGCACCCGTGAACTTGGCCTTCAAACTGGCTTGAAACCAACCATCACATGTGCCCTAAGCACAGTAGGACCGAGGTTAAGGAGCACCCTTGAGACCTTAGCAATTTGAGACCTTAGCAATGTGCTTAGAAGGAGAGAGGGCTCAAGCAGGCAACTGCTCCTCTGTCCCCAAGGGGAAAGAAGAAAAAGGACATATAATACTGGTACCCTTGACAGAAACGCTTGGCTAGGTGTAGGATTCAAGGAAACGACCCTCAGTCCCAGCAGGAGAGACCCTCTCCGACCTGGGAGAGCCCAACCCTTTCTAGAGAGCCTGGGAAGAAACAACATAATGTCTCAGCAGTCTGGTCCCCAGATAACACAAATGGGCATGACAGAGCCCAGCTATGCAACATGGCCTCACCAGCCAGGATCAAGTGCTAGCAGGGGCATGAGGACCTGGCACTGACCCCAAAATAATTGGTGCTCAGAAGACATGTCCTGCCTCTGCTACCCCCAAGAGCTGGATATCCCCAGCAGGGCTGGTGAGTCCCTACAGAGGTGCAACAGGAGGCAATGCAGACCCTGGCTTGAAACCATGATAAATGAAGATGCCTGTCCAGCGATAATCACTACCCAGCTCACCTCAGTTGGTGGCTGCAAAGGAGGTAAGTCAGGGATGGTTTCCTGAGAGCTAAACCAGGATTGTGGTTGCACTGTATGCCCCACAGCCTCTCTGCTTGTCCCTCCAGGACATCTGAGGAAAGAGCAAGACGAGACGATTCACCAGGCCAGGGATTTGGATTCAACAGAGCATCTCATATGTCAGGAGTAATTCCAGGAGATTGCCCCTGATCCCCATTACAATAACCTTGCCTAGATCCTGCACGCACTCACACATCCCAACAAAAAAAAAAAAAAAATCACACTCACTTCAGAGGTCCCTCTGCCACTCAGCATGATAACACTGCCTAACCAAGGAGTGTGCTAGCCACATCTTCACATGGAGGGGGCGATCCCCGTGCCTCAGAACAACTCACAGACACTGTCTCTGTGCTGGTGGTAACAAAACAGATAGCAAGGATCATCAGCAATCCCACACCTTGCAACAACTCAGCCAACCCAGCACTGCTCCCTGGCAACCCTGGTCAAAATTTGGGGTTATTTGGGTGTGTTCACAGCTATAAAAACTACAGGAAATACAACAACAATGGTGACAACAACAGCACCCTTTTGTGCTATGAACATCAATGGTTAATTGTGCTCGTTGGAATAAGGCCATGACTTCTCCCAGCTAAAGGAAAACAGAGGGAAGAGCTCTGGGTTACAGGAGGAAGCATGGCTGGCTTTCCACCTTACTCTGGGTCCTTTTTCCAACCATCAGCTGCTCAGAAAGTGAGATTCTTTGCTTCAGCTTTAAGCTGCATGAGAACAACCCTCAAAGATATTGCAGCACCTCTTGTTCCTCCTCCCTTCCCCACAGGCAAGCTATGAGGGGTCCTGCCTTTCAGGCGAAGGTTGTCGGAGGAGAGTCCTGCCCCTCCCGCAATCCCTTCTTCCTGATGTCATCTTGGAAATGGCTGCTTTTGATTCTAAGAGGGGTTTCTTCTTTGTTGTTTTCTTTATTAATTAATTTTCCTGTTGCCTGGACAGCTAGGATCCACTCCCCAGTGACCTTCTCTCCCGGTGGGGGTGGCAGGCAGGCAGCCATCACAGTTCAGATTCAGGGGTGCTGGCCAGTAAATACCCACTCCCATATCGTCCGTTCGGGGCATTGCTCATTTCCATGGGGGAGTTGCTGCCAGGACCCAGGTAGGAACGGTGCGTGGGCATGGGGGACGGGGTCTCGCTGGGCACTTTGCTCAAGATGAAGCGGGTCTCGTCATTGTCTTCCAAATTGGAGATGTCCTTCATCATCCGGCCCTTCTTGTAGGTGACAGAGAGGGCGTTGGAGCCGTCTGACACAAGGTGGAACTGACGGAGGATGAAGACCAGAGGCAGAGGAAGGGATGCCAGGATGATCAGAGAGATGAGAATAGCCATGGCCCAGGTTGGGTAAAAAAGGAACTTTTCTGCAGCCTGGAAGAGATGGATATTAGTGTCATTAGAGGAACATTAGAGATGTCAGTTTCTCCTCCATCATCTACACTCTCACCCAGGCACAGAGCTGAGCTTCAGCCCCCTCTCGCATTTCAGAGCCACTGAAAGGGGTTACCAGAGCAAAGACCAAAGTGGTGTACACCAGATACAAGATCTCCTAAGCGCTAGGCAGTTCCTACTGCCTCTTTCCAGACTTCTTCTTCAGGGGTGTCACACGAAGCTATCAGAAGGTGAATTCAGGACAAGGAAAGGGACGCAGTCTTGCACTCAGCGTGTAATTAAGCTGTGGAACTCCTCACCGCAGGACAGTGAGTCTCCTAAGTAGGTCTCACTGCTTCAGAGAAGTGCAGGAGGAGTGTTGGGATTTGGTGTCCCAACAGTACATTTGCTTTTGCAAATATTTCAGTCAAAAAAGGAGGAAGGGAGGGCTAGGGAGTGCAGTGTAGTCTTTTACCGCCTACACTCAGCAAACTCCGGCTGTCCCTGAACCTCCTACTTCATGCTAATCATGCACTTGATACAAAGAGAAAATGGGTAAATCAGATCTTTAGAGATGGTGGGGAGGGAACACAGAAGACCAGTTTCTGTCCACTGGAGAAGCTAAGGGCTCTCCACAAGAGCACCACCTCCACCCTGACACCAAGCTGTAAGATTCTTCAATGCAGTTGCTCTCCAGATCCTTACTCTGTCAGATGTTTCATCAGACAAGGACTGACCATATGCAAAACAAATCCCTAGCTCACACTTTGGCCCATGGTCAGAGCTGGCTTGGGACTTCTGGGCAGTGCAGGCAAATCTGACCTTTGCCTGCAGCGGATGAACAGCCACAGCCAGGTTGTCTCCCAGCAGGAGGAGAAAAGAGCAGAGCTGGGGGAGAGCAGGATGCTCTATAGCTCTCAGCTACCCACTACTCAGTCTGGGCCTGGGGTGAAGGTGAATCCTGGGAAGGGAGCAGTGCTCACCTCCTCTCTGATCCATGCGCTGTAGCCTGGTGGGCTGACCCCCAGCTGGATGATGCTGGCAGTCATGAGCACAGCCATGCAGATGGGAGAGACGTACTTCCAGGTGTAGTAGTAGAACTGATATGGCCGGAAGCCCAGCATTTCTGTCAGCTCCTGCATGAACCTGCCAAGAGAAAGAGACAGAGCTGTGCTATTCCCCACCTTCAAATGAGAAGCCTACTCCCAGCAGCCTCTGTTGTGAACTATGCCCAGTGCAGGGCCTGAAGAAGAGCGCGGTCAGTCCAAGCAAGCGTCTCAGTGTCCCTTGTGCCTGTAGGAACCTCCTCAGAAAAAGGCCACCTGAGCATCTTGCTCTGGCCAGGGTCTGGCCAACAAGAACGGGTGCAAGGCCCCCCCTTCCAGACTCACCCTGAAGCCTCAAGCAAAAGGGTAATGACAAATAACACAGCACCACAACTAATACTAGATGCCCTCTGGAAGGATTTTCTCCTGGGACTAGGTTACACCTAAGGCAGGGCAGAGGATCAAGGTGAACTGAGTTACTGCTGCTTAGCCAGTTACTGCTTCTATGAGGTAACCGCATCTGGGGCATTTGCTCCCTCAGAGCTGGCCTCCTAGGGAAAACATATTATGGGAAAGAGCTGAAAGGAAGGGTTTTAGTCGGGAGTCACAGTTATTCTTGTTGTTGGGCAAATGCCTTACTTCTTGGTGCCATAAATCCAGGCCACAGCGATGTTCTCCAGGATCACCACAACAGTGAGAGGCAGTGTGGCCGAGTAATCATCGAACATGGTGACAAAGTAATTCCCAGAGCGTTGCACAAAGATCAGGCCCACCAAGAAGGCAAAGATGCAGCAGCCAACTGCAGAGAGCAAAGGGGCACGGTCAGCAGAGCAACGCAAGGAAAATCAAGGGCTCCGTCACACGGTCCATTCCCTCCTTTAGCTGTTTGGTCAGGCCCCTCCAGGGCCCAGTTCACATCCATCATGTCCAAGCTCTTCTGGAGAGACTCCCCAGGGCAACGGGGACCCTCCAACCCCTCCCCAAGAGAATGCAGGAGAAAAAAACCTCACCTGTGAACACTTCCTTCCGCACTTTGAAGGTGTCGATGATGGGTGTCGTGATGCCTGACATGGTCCCAATCATGCTCCCCAGACCCAGGTTTATTAGCATCAGGAAGAACATGACAGACCAAAATGGCGAAGCTGGAAAGTGAGTCATGGCTTCTGTGAAGGCAATGAAGGCCAAGCCAGTTCCTTGCACCGACTGTCCAGGGAGAGGGAGGACCAAAAGGAGGAGAGAACCACGTCAGGGACACAGTTTGGTATGCCAAACCTGTAACCTCATGCCTCAGGTTTCTCCCATCGTGCTGAATCACTCATTGGGGAAGAAAAATATAGTCTGGAACCCCAGCCTGGAGACAGAGGTGACCTTAGATTTCTGCTATACTTGCTATGAGCAGACCTTTTCCCCCACCCCGGTAAGGACCACTGTGCACTGGGGAAGATCATGGGGGCAGGGAACCCCCATCCCTGGAGAAAGGGGATATTTTTTCCAGATCCACATGTCAGGAGCAACATGAATAGACAGATCCTACCAGGGAGAGGCAATGGGCAAGGTGACCTTCTTATCCTACTAGGAATGCTGCTAGGTACCTTGTTGAGTTCATCCTCCAGCAGGCAGGCATCCAAGCCCAGTTCTTTGAAGTGCCCCTCCTTCACTGTCATGATCACCCTGTACATCTCATTGTAGTCCTTGGCCGTGAGGTGGGAGAAGTTCACATGGGGTGGGATGAGGTCATGGCTCAGCACATTGGTGTTCAGATACCCCAAGATCCTCTCAGCATTCCTAAAGGAGAGCAAAGTCCGGTCACTCAGAGAAGTCCCCTTCCTCCCAGGGTGGAGGACATGGCTTGACCATGCAAGCTCTTCGGACCAGGCAGGCAGAGCCTTCCTGGGTCACCCAGGCCCCAGTCAGCATGTGCCATCCAAACCCTTTGCAATTTCCCAAAGAATAAGTTGCATTGGGCCACATGACAGAGGGTGCAGCCAGGCATCCACCGGAGAACGTGGTCTCTACTTCCCCCTCAGCCCTGCTCTGCTGCACACTGCTGCAGTGTCTCCTCAGTTCTGGGATTCCACAATGCATGATCAGGATTTTTACGGACACAGCTCACTCTGTCTAAAGATAATTCTTGATGCACAAATACACCTTCATCCAGCTGCTTCTGAAGTACAGCACAGCTGCTCCTTAACCTTACAGACCAGGGGACCTTGAGATGAGTGGAAACTGTGGGAAACCCAGATGATGTGACCAGACATGTTAGATTCACCCACAATTCGCAGACTAACGGCTCACCTTGGAGCTGGATTTTACATTGGAGGAGCTGAATGCCTGATTCTCTCCTGGAGCCAGAAGAAATGTGCCCTCAGCTACAGTGGGCTACAGCATCTTTGAAATGCCAGGTCTTGATCATCAGGAATTTGAGTCTACCAAAACACAGTATCACCCAGCCTTAGGATACTTACTCCATCATCTCCAGCACATGGATGAGAGTCAGGCAGACCCAGCACAACCAGCAAGAGCCAGGGCTTCCCCACCCCAGAGAGAGAAAGGAAATCCACCTACTCCACCACGCATTTCTCATTCATGATGTTGGCCTTGAAGCCCAGCACAGCAAACACAACCAGGGTGGCCAGGACAGAGGTGAAGAAGTTGATGAAGGAGACAAGCGTTGCGTCAAAGTGGCAGTTGTTGTCTTGCTTGTTGTAACTGGAGAAGGCGATGACCCCCCCAAAACCGAGGCCCAAGGCAAAGAAAACCTGTGTAGCTGCCTCCCGCCACACCTGAGGATCGAGCATCTTGTCCAGCTTGGAGGGGAAACAGAAGAGGAAGATTAGACAACTTGGCCCCCTGCAACTCATCCTGACAAAGGCAGAGCTAAATTAAAAGGCCATTGTGCCTACAACATGGGCTGGTTTCAGAGCAGCCATGAGGATGCTTTGGTCCACCTTGATCAGGGTCTTGTATTGCCCAGCACTTTTGAGTACTCAGAGGTCCTCTCTAATGGAGGTGAAACCGAGGCACTGGGAAAGGCAGGCAAAGATCAATTGGTCCAGCCATGTCTCTTGCTGCTCCAGCTCCCTCCCTCTGCCCCACAGCCTGATCTGGGTGCCTGATCTCCCAGTGCAAAGCCCTGCAGCCCGGCTGTCCTGAGGAACTGGCATCCCTGTTTGCCTCCCCAGGAGGCCTACACAATGCAATCAGTATCTGCTTCCCTCCAGCCACTGGCTGCCTCCAGAGCGCCTGGAGCATTTGAAATTAAATGTCTCAGCTTGTAGGTTTGTTTAACCCCCCCCCCCCATCCCCTGAAATACACCCCTCTTCTGTGAGCCAGAGCTGCAGACTGGAGGCCTCCAAGCATTGTTCATCAAGAGATCATAATTAATATCTTGTAACAGCTTCGCCAGCTGAGCTGATTCATCTACATCTCTGCTTAATTAATTAATTAGCTGGTTAATTAATGGATACACAACACCAGCAGAGGTTTCTCTGCTAGCCAGTATCTTCCTATGGAGTACATAGGGCACACCCTCTAGGGCACCCCCTCTCCTCTGCCCCAGGGTCTGGGCACCCAGAGATAACAGGCTCAAAGCTGCACCAAGGCTGGCAAGTTCCCAATCCTCTTGTCTGTCCTGGCTGCACCTGTATTTAGGGGGGCCAACAGCACCTCCTGCCTGACTCCTCAGGACTGACGGGGAGGTTCGGGGCTGATGCTCTGATTTTTAGGGGCAGGAAGCCCTTGCGGGTTGCTGCGTGTACATGAGTGGCAGCATGGCCCGGAGCAGATTTGTTTTACGTGAGAGCTTGTGACAGTCTGGGCAGAGGGATGCGAAGGTGCATTACGTGGAAGAGGTGACTGCAACCACGGGGGAAACTGCACCCTGCAAAGCAAGCTCGTGCAGCCAGCCAGGAGGGAAACCTCCTTGGAGCCTGCTGGGCTCAGTAGCCCTTACCTTGGGCGTGAACATGTGCGTGATCCCGTCCACTGCCCCTCGCAGCAGAAGGCCCCGGACCAGGAAGCAAACCAGCACCACGTAGGGGAAGAGCGAGCTGAAATACATGACCTAGGGCAAAAAGGACATGATGTGGACTCGATCCCATTTACCTTCTCCCGTGCTCAGCCATCTGCGCTCCGTTCCCTAAGCCAAGGGCCAAACCCCACAGGGGTGAGAAGGGGAACATGGTTCAAAGCCAGTATCTTTTACCACCCGGAGGGGCCATGATGCTGCTGCATTGCCCTTTACTCAGCCCTTGGTATCCCTAAGCGCTGGGCTGCAGGCAGTTGTTATCCTCCCGAATAAGAGGTCTGTTCTTCGTGCAACACAGGGTTTAGCTGTGGGACTCCTCGGTGCAGGATGCTACAAAAGCTAAAGCTCACTCAGAATTGCAAAATGAATGGACACACTTAGGAGAGGAAAAGAATCGGGCTCTTAAATGCAGAAACACCAGCGTGGTCTCAGAAAATCCCTGCACTGCAAACTGCTGCTGCCTAGGGACAGGTAGCTCTGCACCCCACCTCCCTCACTTCCCCAGCATCTGCCAGGGGAAGCCCCAGCTGGTTCCTGGTATGGGGCACATTTCCAGTGAGCAGAGGTGAAAGAGGCTTGAACCTGGCCAGGAAAGACCTGTTGTCCCTTGTCTCAGGGCCGTGGGGATAGTGGGCTGTGGACTTGCCACCCTGCGCTATCTGCCAGCGGGCCAGATGCTCTGCAGAGCACATCTGGAGATGGGAGGTGATTGAGCGTCTGGGGGAGCAGTTACCCTTCCACGTCTGACCCTGCTGCTTACACAGTCTTGCTCAAAATGTTCACAGCCTCTGAAAGTTAACGGCATCCCTTACCCAAAGCCCTTCATTCCTCCTGCCCTGCGTCTTGCGCTCACAGCCCCAGCGCTCCCACCACAAAGGAGGGTGCAGATCTCACCACTGCATCCTACGAGCAAAGCTGCTGTTGGGATCCACAGGGAACTGAGCTGCGGACCGATTCAGGGCCCTCAAATCCCTTTCAGCAGATGACATCTGCGCTGTTGAGAAGGTGCATCTGGACAGTATACGTCAGGGGAATGGCATGGGATTTGCCCACAGAGACCACAGTACGTTCCCCTTGCCTCCCTCCAGGGCCCATACTGACATATAGGCTGTGCTGAGCAGGTGGGATCCCAAAACAGGGGCCTGGCCAGGTTATTTGGCTCTTCTGATGTGGCTCAGCCCTGGGCCATTGCTGTTGGTGTCAGCTGGGCAGCCGTCCCACGGCCCCCTCAGAGCAGGGCAAGAGAGCACGGGCCACGGAGGCGGCTTCTGCCTTGACACTGCAGGCAGAGCCCAGCATCAGGGATGGATCCCAGCCGGGCTCAGCTTGGCAGCGATACCCACCTTCCCTGAGGACTGGATGCCTTTGATCATAGCCAAGCCAACAAGGCTCCAGGCCACCAGCAGGCACAAGGTCATCTTCCAGTTGAGGCCCCCGCTCTCCGAGATGGAGTTAGAGATGTCCAGGGTCTCCCGGTACCAGAAATAGGTGGTGGCTGAGCTCCTCTCGCATTCGGCCTCCACAACTGCAAGCAACCAGAGGCATGAAAGCATGAGGGGTTTGGGGAATAGTCATCCAAGGACTAACATCAGCTAACATCAAAGACCTGCTGGAGCAGCTGGGGAAGGTAGGTACCGCTGGGAACTTGGGGACAGGACCATGGTTCATTTTTAGTAGGAAAAAGAACAGACAGGACAAGTTGTCAAGTTATTTTCACTTGACAACGTGAAAATAAGATGTTAAACACAGGGAGGTACATTTGCATTCACCATAAAGTCTCCCAGTGTCCCAAGGAGGTGCTCAGATGCTATTAAACACACTCTTAGCTCCACTGGAGTCTCAGTCAGGTACTAAGGAAGCAGCCAGGCGAGCCCTGGCATGGTTCTTCCTGGCTCTTGCTGCCTCCCTCTGCAGTCATCAGTTGGATCCCAGCATCCTGGAGACCCCAGACCTGGACCCCAAAACTGGCATCACACCCCAACAGAGGAGAAAGACCTCGAGCTGCCAGTGAAACAGGGTTCATTTGTCCCGAGGGAAATATCTCCACTTAACCTAGATGCCTGGGCTCCCTTCGGCCATGAGGGAGGCACTGATGCCCCAGAAATGCTCTGCTCCAAGGGATAGTGTCTAAGGTCTACCAGAAAAATCACATTTTTTAATACCTGGCTATCAAATAACACCTATAAAGCTATTTCCAATAGTCTCGAGAGGACCCACGTCCCACCCATCCCACATCCCTTTGAAACACCCCAACCACCAGTGTCCCCACAATAGCCACCGATGCCGGGGAGCCCGGTGGCCCGCAGCCCACCTCCCCCAGGAACTGCCACCTAACGGCTGCACGGT